GGCCTGGCGTGCTCTGGTCCATGGGGTCATGAAGAGTCGGACATGACTTAACAACTAAACAACAAGTGGAACGGAGAAGAAAGGACAAGATCAGGAAAGAGTTTCTATAGCATCTTGCTTTGGAGAGAGGAACACTGTCATAGCTGAATAGCAGAGCACTTGTTCTGTAGGCAGAAGGTCCTAGAATATGATGTCCAGCATTTCCAGGTAGAACTGGGAAAGAAACCTCCATGAAACTCTGGGGAGCCACTGCTAATTACTGTCAATAATAGCTTAGATAAACCAAGGGTCTGACTTGGTATAAATCATCTTCTTAGGTTCCTAAAAAGCACATCCTCAAGGCATGACAGGGTTTCCAAATACTGGATTTTCCTATGCTAGTAATTTTTTAAAATTTAGATTGTTACTGTGCCTCTCACAGCTCCGTCGAGTCTGATCCAACAGATCGTAGCAAAAAAATAATCCATAGGCCAGTCACATGTCTGGACATCCATGGATGCCTTGAATCTTCCATGGCAAGGAAGGGTAAACATGAAATATAAAGAAAGAGAAAGAAGTACTCAAGGCTCTTGAGTTCTGGCCATAACGATACACACAGAAGACGTTGTGCTTACTTCAGAACGGGCTCTGGTGTGAGCATGGTGCAGTCGATCTCAAAAATCTGCTCTTCCTGGATGAAGTGTTGCCTCCAGGCTTGAATTATGTTGTTCTTCAAAGCACATCCAACCGGACCAAAATCATACAAACCACTTACTCCTGCAAAATAGAAAATGAAAGCAGACAACAATTTCTCTTTCACCTCTGCTATGCCAACCTAATCAGAACTCATATACAAGGAGTAGCCCAAATAAAGGAGAAATTTCCTCTGTTCTAGAAAAACCCCTTCAACTTCCCAAGGAGGGAATTCCGACACAAATGACATCAAAACCATGTCACTGATCTAAACCCCTTCAACGACAGCGGGAGGTGCCATTTCTCAGAAAATCATAACCAAAGGAAGGGCTTCACAAAGAATTACTGCAAATATTCTCCTACTTGGGCATTTCCAGGATGCCCCCACGTTTTCTGCTCTTGCTTTTCAGAAATGGAGGCTTGCAGCCCTAACTGCGGTGGATAAAGAGGTGGGAGGGAAACCTGAGAAGTAACACCCTCCCAGACTTAGAAGGGGTTTAGACCACCTCGGGGAGGTGCCCGTTTAACCCATGACATACGTTTGCAAGGTAGGCTTGGCAACATCACTGAGGTTTTCAGATCGTCTGTTGAAGCAAGTTAAGCCCAGCACAGTATTTTGTGTCATTCACGATTGTTCAGAGGAACATACCTTTTAAAAGGTGGTCAGCTCGAAAACACTCCCCGTTTTTCACATCCTTCACCATGAAGTCTGCAAATTTGTCCACGTGGCCGGAGGTCCTAGAATGGCAAACAGCATTAACATGTCAAGCTGTGTCATGACAGCTTCTCAACAATATGCAGCCGGGGTGGGGGCGCAGTTTTTAAATCGATGTTTTTTACACTCTGAGAAATAAGAGTTAACTTTATTATATTTATTTATTTAACTTACATGCCACCCACACTACCCAAAGGTCTCTGGGAGGCTTACAATAATTAAAATATACAGTATACTCTAAAAATTACCATCAGGATCCACAGTATAGTTTACATAGTTCATGAAATACACCTTACTGGGAACTAACATAAAAATTAGTAATTTATATAGACAAACCAACCAATGTATTGTTATGTTCTTTTTTTAAAAAAAAAACTGCCTGGTTAAAATTAAAAACCTAAATACAAGCATAGCTTCTTGTTTCTGAATTCGTGAACCTCAGTTGTGCAAAATGGTTGAAAGACTGCTTTACCGGATAAAACAAACACTAGGAAAAAGTCTCTTTTGAAGTCAAACATTTAAAAATCTGATACAGTATGTGGTGAGCTTCATCCAATTCATCCAATTTCTTCATCAGACTGGGAGGATCAGCTACTGTGTCCCCTCCATGTTTTATATATTTCATGTTGTCTGCCCTTTTACCCATGAGCAATACATA